GATACGGAACTGCTCTGGCGATGAAAGAAGGAATGGATTTAGCGGCGAAGAATGAGCGAGCCATTTTGTACTCGTTTTGGTTTACACAAAGAAAAGAAAACTAAATGAAATATTCTCCTGATGAGCAAATAAAGAGAAAATATGTGAATCGGTCTCAATCACATTCTCTATGGTCATCTTCTCCTTCAATCTTACACCATCAACCCTAAAAAAATCACAAATTTTAATTTAATGCCTGCCAACTGAATCAAAAGCCTGAATTCAAATTTCAATCTCGAAATCTAAATCAGAGTTTTTGCGAAACAGAATAAGAGTGTTGTCAAAGATGAATCAACCACGTTTCATAAACTCCCTTTCAGGATGAGTTGTTTTTTCCAACCACGTTCATAATTCCCTTCCAAATCTTATGACGTGATTTATGGGATTTATTCTCACAATTTACGTAATTAAAGACTTCCATAAATAAATAATTTATTGTTCAAGGGTGTTTATGTCCATATGCATATTGATTTTATTCCATTTAATTGATTTTTTTAGTCAAAGGGCCTATAGCTATATTAATCTAATAGATTGGATTCCAACCTATATAAGTTTGAAATAAGAGGGTATAGCTAATTATATATATATAGATATATATATATATATATATATATATATATATATATATATATATATATATATATATGTGTGTGTGTGTGTGTGTATGTGTGTGTGTGTGTTATAGAGATTTGTGTGTGTGTATTTAATATAATATATATGGGCAAATTACGGCCACCCCTGTGTTATAGTCAAATTACGAAAAAACCCCTCCTGTTTGGGTAATTATAGCCACCCTCTTTTTAAATATTTTGACATAAAATTTATGTAACTCGGTTATTTACCAAACAAAATTGTATATTCAATTCGGTAAACGATATGAAATGTTGGCGTACCAAAATTTCGGTTCGGTTTAACCGATTTAACATCCCTAAATTAACCTATGGATGAGTATTTTCGTAAGATAATACATAGTTGAGGGGGTGGCTATAATTATCCAAACATAAGGGGGGTTTTCGTAATTTGACCATAAAACATGGATTTCCTTCCTTTAAGGGTTAATATGCTAGAGGTGCCTAGTTGGAAACATAATTAGATATGGGATAGAACCCTAATATTTTTTTCTTAACTAAATCATTTTTACAAAAATAAATATGACCCACATCCTTTACTTTTTTTATTACAAATTTTCCCTCAACCTAAATCCATAAATTCTACACGTTTTTCCCAGATCTAATTTTCTTATTTTCTTCCCTCTTCTCTCTCGTTCTCCCTCTCTCGTTCACCTTCTTTCTGTCGTCTCTCTTTCTCTCGCTCTCCCTCTCCATCAGTTCTCACGCGATGGCTATGGCGCAACTATGGCGGTGGAGGCGGCATTAATAAGGGGATGGAGGCAGAAGGCCACAACGACTATGGTGGTGGAGGTCAGATCTACGGCGGATGGTGACGGCTATGGCGGCTAGGTTTTAATTTGGTCGACGGCTAGGGTTTAATTTGCTCGACGACTATGACGGCTAGGGTTTAATTTGGTCGATAGCTAAGGTTTAATTTGATCAGATCTACGGTGGATGGTGGCTAGGTTTTAATTTGGTCGACGGCTATGGCGGCTAGGGTTTAATTTGGGTCAGATCTATGGTGGATGGTGGCTAGGTTTTAATTTGGTCGACGGCTAGGGTTTAATTTGGTTGACGGCTACGGCAGCTAGGGTTTAATTTGGTCGATAGCTAGGGTTTAATTTGATCGGCGGCTAGGGTTGGTGGACGACTAGGTTTTTGCAGGTAGGGTTTGGCGGCGGCTGAAATTTGTTGGTTGCTATGATTTAACGGTGGCTGGAAGATGTTGGAAGTTAGGGTTTGGCGGCGGCTGAGAGTTGGTGAATGATAGAGTTCGGAATAGTACACCACAGTATACCGTAGTATACCATAGCGTACCATAGCATATCATAGTATCTTTTCAAATTTGGTGTATTATTTGACAAAAACGAAACTACGGGTGTTTGCAGATGACTACGACCGGAAAAAAATTAAAAAAAAAATCATAATTTTCAATATTATGTGGAAAAAAGATAAGAAAAAAATAGATTCTTATAGTAATGAGAAAAAACAAAAAGAGAAACGTATTCCACGTAAAAAATAAAATAACAAAAATGCTAGATGCAAATTAAAAATGTTAAATAATACCTTAGTACACCATTGTACATCATAGAATATTTACAATCCGATGTAATTTCGAATTTGTGAATGGAGGGGCATTTTTTTAATGAATTTTGATAAAGGATGTGAAGCAAATTTTAATTAGGCTTGTCATTTAATTCTAATAAGATTTGTTACCAGGGACTTATATCTTAAGACCCATTTTCTGTAAAGAAGATACAAAACTGTAATTCCAAATAACCCGTCATCAACAAGCTAATGGTATCAGGGATGATTTGCTAAATATATTTAAGAAAATTATAAAAAATATATATACTATAGAGTATAGAGACGAAGGGGATTAAGAGATTCAATTAAGATAACCAAGAAAACTTCACAGGTTATAAATTAATGCAAGTAATTGAAAAGGAAAATATCTTCAAAACGAAATATGAATAAGTTTGTACTTTGAGGATTTCATGTTTCTACCCTTACATTTAGGGTAAACAACATAAAACTCCATGTGTTAAGGAAAACATGCGCCAAATCCCCTTATGTTCTTTTTACTGCATAAAACCACATGTGTTTCATTTTTCCTTGCAGGAAATCATCATTTTCTTTAATATTTAACACCGTTAACAATAAATGGTATTTTATGCAAGCGTTTAGTAACAGAGGGGGGTTTTCTGCATATTTTCTACAATACAATAGGAATTTATGCAAAAAAAAAATATTTATTCGTTTAGAAATCATTATTTTCTTAATTTAAGTCGAACCCATTTATTCAGTTATAATATAAAAAAAACTGAAAAATTAATGGGTGTGGTGATTCTTTTTTTAATGTTTTTTTTTCATATAATTTAATTTGTTAATTAATTTAAAACAATTGATTTTAAAAAATATATATATTTATATTATCAGAATCATTATATATTTAAATAATGTATTATGGGTTAGTTATATATAAAAAGAAAATAAATGATTTGAGAATTCGTTCCAACTTCCATCTCGACTATTATTTTTTTTATTTTCATATTGTAAATTAATTGATGTATTCGACTTCATTTAAGAAAATATATATTTTTTTAAATTTAAATAAATAAATTAAATTTTCATAAACCCCCCTTGTGTTGAAAAACCATGTACCAAATCCCTCTGTATTACAAAAAACTTGCATAAAATCCCCTCTATAGTTAACCATTAACAGAAATGAGGATTTTATGCAAGGAAAAATAGAACACATGGGGGTTTTACGCAATAAAACGTTACGTGCGAGCATGTGATCACGGACTTCTACCCCCTGTCTTACCTATATTTTTTATTTGGCCCCAATTTAACTTTATTATTATAAATTCGTCCAAAAAAAAAAATCAAATCCCCAAAAAATTATTTCGAATGTTCCAACCCCGCCCCGTCTGCCATTTTTTACCTCCGCCGACCCATCAACTGTACATTTGTGTCACTTTTTTTTTTAATTGAAATGATTTATAATTGTTTTTTTTTTTTTTGCATTTTTTATATAAAATTGAAATACTCTTAAAAATTTGTTAATGAATAATAAAAATACCAAAAAAAAATTTATAAGATTAGGCAAAATCGATTTTATTGTATAGGGTAAATAGCACTTAACCCCCCATGTGGTTACAAGTTTTTACAGACGACCCCATTGTGCTTGTAATATCAGCACTTAAGCCCCTTCTGGTTGATGCGGTAGCTTCCGTTAGTTTTCCGTTAAACTTAACCGCATGTGTCAAAAGTCAAAGTATTTTTTTTTTTTCAGATGATCCCCTTGTGATTTCATTTTTGCAGGTAACCCCTTTGAAGTATGACACACGCAGTTAAGTTTGACGGAAAAACTAACGGAAGCAACCCCATAAACTACAAGGGGGTTATCTGCTGATATTACGAGCACAAGGGGGTCATCTGCAAAAAGTTGTGACCACAAGGGGGTTAAGTGTTGTTTATCCTATAAACAACTAAAATCAATATTTCTGAAATTACAAAATATGTTTAATTATATTTTATATATTAATAATGAAATAAATTATATTTATAAAATTAAAAAAGGAATCTAATTAACTTTGGTATAATCAAATTAGTTACAATGTTTTCGATTAAAAAAATTAAAATAAAGAAATAAATAATATTTGTGAATAAAATATAATATACTAATTCCTAAAACACTCCTATGTTATGTTTTGTCATTTTATATTTTTAGTACATTTCTCGAATTTAATTTTATTTGGACGAAAATGTAAGAATAAAGTGATATTGGGGTTAAATTAATAATATAGTTAAAAAGAAGGGGTTTATCTGCATTGTCACGTGCCTCGCACGTTACTTTTCCGTCCAAACTAACACCAATTTCAAACGGTGGACGAAAATTGTAGAAAAAACTGGTTATTTGAGGATCAATTTCGTGCAAACAAAAGTTTAAGGACCAAAATTAAAAATGGTGTATAATATAGGGACCAAAACTATAATTATCCCTTTGTTTGTGAAAAAGTATGCTAATTTTGAAAAAAGATAAAATCCTAAACGATATAGTCTCTAATATATGGTATTCTATTTGTGTCAATAATGTTAAAGCATTTTCATGGGCTTCAACTAGAAGTAAGTTATTTTCATAGGTTTCAACTAAAAGTATATATAAAATAGGCTAAGACGCTAAGTAATATAAATTAGGTGGAACAAGTAGATTAATTCATATAGATAATTGCAGCGTACTGCACGTTACAAATGCTAAAAAGCGAAAAGGACAACTCATCATCATTTTTCGACTACATTACAGGTTGAAGCGTTTCTAGTCGGAGTTAAACGAAATTCATTTTGTCGTAAAAATGTCTCTCATAGCTGCAATATTCATGTGCTCTATGATGCTTAATGCGAATATCAACGCGCAATCGACTAATTCTAAACAACCGCTCCCACCATTCTCTTGTGACTCAATCACTAATCCATCTACAAAGTCGTATCCATTCTGCAACGTCGATTTGCCGATCGGAAAACGGGCCCACGATTTGGTCTCGCGTCTCACATTGAACGAAAAAATCTCCCAGCTCGTTAATAAGGCATCGGCAATCCCAAGGCTAGGCATACCCTACTACCAATGGTGGTCGGAGGCTCTGCATGGAGTCGCCGGTACCTTGGGTGTAGATACCGGCTTCTTTTTTAACGGGACTATCCGCGCGGCGACTAGTTTTCCTCAAGTTATACTCACCGCCGCCACCTTTGATGCCCATCTTTGGTATCGAATAGCCAAGGTAAATTATATTGAATGACCATCTCAACTAAAAGTTTAAACTATTAGTGAAATGTATCGTTTAATATTAATATCTTCAATACGCCCCCTAAAGTACAGGATTTGGCATGGCTCTGATAGCCTCTTGAATGACCATCTCAACCAAAAGTTTAAGCTATAAGTGAAATGTATCATTTAATATTAATATCTCCAATACGCCCCCTCAAGTGCAGAATTTGGCATGGCTCTGATAGCATGCTGAATGACCATCTCAACCAAAAACTTAAGCTATCAGTCAAATGTATCATTTAATATTAATATCTCCAATAAATTAGTCAAGAAATAAAGTAAAGTTATTGTGATATCGGATTATCGCGATTTTAAGCATATGCATAATACTAAAATCAATTGTGCTAGTATCTAACACGTATATGTATGAGTATGCATTTAAAGGTGATCGGGACGGAGGGTCGAGCAATATACAATGAAGGGGAGGCGACGGGCATGACGTTTTGGTCACCCAACATTAATATTTTCCGAGATCCGAGGTGGGGAAGGGGGCAAGAGACACCTGGCGAAGACCCTTTCATGACAAGTAAATATGGCGTCTCGTTTGTTCGAGGCATTCAAGGTGACAGCTTCGAAGGCGGTGACCTCAAAGACGGCCGTCTTCTAGCCTCCGCGTGCTGTAAACATCTCACTGCCTATGATTTGGAGAGTTGGAACGGAAATAGTCGTTTTACGTTCGACGCTCATGTATGTATCTCTTTCATCACTATATATTCAATATATATATATATATATATATATATATATATATATATATATATATATATATATATTGCAGAGAAATGTGAGAATTAATTAAGTGCATTTCTAAGGGAAAAAATATTTACTTTGTCCTTTTTCGGTTTAATTAGCGAAATCCCATGAACTAAGGTTAAATTAATAGAAAAAAAAAAATTTGAATTTTGTCAATTTCTATCCAAATTTGAACAATTTTTTTAATTCTAGTTTAAAAAAATTTCATATCGATTTGGGCGGATTTTTTCAGAACCAAATTAGAATTAGTTATCCACTCCCGAAAAAATAATGTTTTTTCAAAGTGTTAATTATACCCCTAACTAGGGGTGGTAAACGAGCCGAGCCGGCTCGCGAACTTGACGAGCCGGCTCGACAAAGGCTCGAACTCGAGCTCAGGTTTTTCGAGCTCGAGCTCGAGCTCACAAGTTCGAGCTTTGGACGAGCTCGAGCTCGAGCCCAAATATAGTTGTTCGCCAGCTCGCGAGCTGGTGTTTTTTTTTTTTTTTTTTTTTTAATGTTTTATATATTATATATTATTATTATTATTATTATTATTATTATTATTATTATTATTATTATTATTATTATTATTATTATTATTATTATTATTATTATTATTATTATTATTATTATTATTATTATTATTATTAATATAAAATATTATAATAATAATATAAAAATAACATTAAAAATTTAAAAATATATATAACTACAGTTTTTTATTTATTTTATAATTTTTTTTCATTATACTATAAATATTTTTTAATAAAAAATTAATAATAAAAAAAAAAGTAAAAAACATAAAAAAATAAAAACATAATGAGCTCGAGCTCGTCAAAATTGGCTCGAGCTTGAGCTCGAGCACGAGCTCGAGCTCGGCATAATGGACTCGAGCTCGAGCTCGAGCCTGCCAAAACAGCCGACCTCGGCTCGTTCACACCCCTACCCCTAACATTGTTAATTTCAATATTTTTTTTCTTTTTTCTTATTCTGCATTTTATTTATTAAAAAAAATATCAGGGTCAGTTTAGTCAATTCATGTAAGTCAACAGCCAATTTCGAAAAAAGGGCTGTGTGCTTTGTCAAACAAAACATATGAGAGTCTTTGCTAAATTTTTTAACACAGATTTTTTCGGCAATTCGAAATTACGTAATGTTTTTAATTAACTCTTAGGGTGTTTCTCATAAACTACTTTCTTTTTTTTGTTAAAGGTTACAAAGCAGGATATGGCAGATACATATCAGCCACCTTTCAAAAGCTGTGTAGAACAAGGCCGAGCGAGCGGGATTATGTGTGCTTATAATCTCGTAAATGGTGTTCCCAATTGTGCTGATTACGATTTACTAACGAAAACAGCTCGTCGCGAATGGGGATTCCAAGGGTATCTTCTTTAATAACTTGAAAAATCACTTTCCTTCTTGTACATCTAATGTCTCTAACATCACCGTAAACGAACAGGTACATAACATCTGATTGTGGTGCAGTCTCTCTTCTCTATGGTACGCAAAATTATTCGAAATCACACGAAGATGCTGTAGCAGATGTGCTTAAAGCAGGTAACATGTGCCCTTTTTCATTTTTTTTAAAAGAATTATTTGTACTCATGGTTCTTAAATCGTAAATCGAATTGAAATCGATTTGTAAAAAAATCAAATCGTAAGTCCAATCGAATCGTAAATCGTAAGATTGTATTCTTTCAAAAATAATATAGATAATAATTATATATAAATATTTTAAAGAAATTATATAATGTTATAAGAAATGTATATGTCGTTTAAAATTTATAAAGTCAAACTATAACAGTTGTATCTTGAAGAATATAAAGAATTGATTGAATTAAATATAAATAAATAAATGACGTAATACAAGCTCACTTATGCTATTAAAATCGGTGACGTGTGAGAAATTCAAGTAAAAATACAAATGTCTCTTGAGAACTAATTAAAATAAATAATATTTATTTATAGAAAACTGAATTAAACTCATTCCAACTTATTTTCATACTGTATAGTGCAACAATAGACGAGGAATAGAAGTAAAAGTAATACTATATGGTATTTTCTTTTTAAATATACTTGATTTAATAGTATTTTATGGGATAAAGTGTTGACAATAACGTAATAATCACATTAAATATTTCTATATATAAAGTCTAATGTATTTTTAATTAAAATTATTATAAATATTAATATAATAAATTAAAATTTTCTTAAATGTAAAAATCGTAAATCGTAAGATTTCATCGGTTTTTTGACATTTAAGATTTAAATCGATTTAGGTATGAATCCAATCGAATCGTAACATTTGAATCGTAAATCGTAAGATTTTAATAACCATGTCTATACGTATAGCATTGATCAACATGATAATAGCTCAACCTAATATAGAACAAAATTTTAATGACAGTTTCTATCAAATTGGAAAAAAAGTAAAATAAATTATAAATACAGGTTTGGATGTTGAATGCGGCAACTATTTGACGAATCACACGAAATCAGCAATCGAAAAAGGGAAAGTGTCGGAGCATGATATAGACAGAGCCCTTCGTAACCTCTTCACTATTAGGATGAGATTAGGACTTTTCAATGGAAATCCAAGTGAACATGTATACGGCAATCTTAGCCGTAACGACGTATGTAGTCCCGAGCATCAAGATTTAGCCCTTGAAGTTGCACGCGATGGCATCGTCCTTTTAAAGAACTCCGCAAATCTACTTCCACTATCTAAGTCCAAAACAAAGTCCCTTGCCGTAATAGGCCCCAATTCCAATGTATCGGAAACACTCTTAGGAAGCTACGCGGGCCCCCCGTGCAAGACAATTACTCCACTACAAGGACTAATGAATTATGTCAAGAAAACCGAATTCCATAAGGGTTGCGAAACCGTTAATTGCACCTCAATTGCCTCCAGAGAAGCGACGAGAATTGCCAGATCAGCAGATTATGTTGTACTCGTAATGGGAATCAATCAAGATTTTGAGCGCGAAGATTTGGATCGAGAAGACTTGGTACTTCCAGGTCAGCAACAGAGTCTTATCAGGAGTGTTGCAAACGCAGCTAAAAATCCGGTTATATTGGTATTGCTCTGTGGAGGCCCCGTTGATATTTCGTTTGCGAAAAATAACCCCAAGATTGGAGGTATTTTGTGGGCTGGATATCCCGGTGAAGCTGGGGGGAAAGCAATTGCAGAGATCATATTTGGTGACCACAATCCAGGTACATTTCCTCAACTTTTTTTTTTTTCCTTCTTTTCTTCACGAGTCAAAGGTTTAAAAATATACTAGGATTAATTAATATTGAAATTTATATTAGTCGATAAATTAATAACCTCGGTTAAATAATAATTTTTCCTGGTCCCGACTCGGTAAAAACCTTCTAAACTATTAGTTCGATAATTTAATAATTCGCTAAATTAATAGAATTTTGGCAGTTCTGATTGTATTAATTTATAGATGTTTGTTTAATTGTATGCTTGTTTTTCCAGGAGGAAGGTTGCCTGTAACTTGGTATCCGAAAGATTTCATCAAAATACCAATGACTGATATGAGAATGAGGCCCGATCGCGCATCTGGCTATCCGGGACGAACTTATAGATTTTACCAAGGCGAAAAAGTTTATGAATTTGGCTATGGTCTTAGCTACTCAAACTATTCTTACAAATTTGTTTCTGTCGGCCAAAGCAAGCTCGACTTCAAGCCAGAAAACTCGGGAGATGTTTCAGTTTCGGATATCGGGTTCGAAACATGTGAGAAGTCAAAGTTTTCGGTTGTTGTTAGTGTTGAAAATGAAGGGGAGATGGCCGGTAAGAACTCGGTTCTGCTATTCCTAAAGCGTGACGAACCTCTTAAGGATAGTCCCACGAAACAGTTGGTCGGATTTCAGACAGTGAGATTGAATGCAAATGAGAAGGCTAATGTTGAATTTGAAATAAATCCATGTCAGCACTTTGCAAGAGCTAGTGAAGATGGAAAGATGGTGATTGAATCAGGGACTCATCATTTTATCGTAGGAGATCAGAAAGAGTATCCTATCAGCATTAATTAGTTAATATTTTCACTAAAAAATGTCATTTGGTTTGAATTATTCACTCAAGTGATTTGGAATAAATATGTTCGGGCAAATTAATGTTTCAATTCTCTTAATATGCATAAATTTTACCTTAAATTTCTGAACTTGTGTGACAAATACTATAATTTGATTCACATAGAAACTCGAATAACGTTGGAATTGTTTTTTTTTTCTTAGTGTAGTGATTTTTTGCAACTCAGGAACTTGGTTAACACGAAGTTCCATGGCTCTTAGAATCACTTTAGTTCGTGATTTAATATAATAATATAATATAATAAATAAGAGATATTACACGAAGTAACTAAGAGATATATAATATAATAATGAATAATAATAATAATAATATATACGCTAATACACCGCCGCAGTCGAAACGGGAAAACGGGAAAGGAGAGGACGTGGAGATTGGAGACAAATTGTTGAAACAGTTGAGTAGGGAGTCCTTTCGTGAAGATATCGGCGAATTGGTAGGCGGATGGGACGTGAAGAACACGAACGTGTCCCAAAGCAACTTTGTCTCGGACAAAGTGGACGTCAATCTCCACATGTTTCGTACGAGAGTGTTGAATATGATTGCTGGATAGGTAGACGGCACTGACGTTGTCACAGTAGACAATGGTGGCTTTTGAAAGTGGGTAGAGCAACTCAAAAAGTAGGTTGCGTAACCAAGTCGTTTCGCCGACGGCGTTTGCGACAGCTCGATATTCTGCCTCCGCACTAGATCGAGAAGTAGTGACCTGTCGTTTGGAGGACCAAGAAATGAGGTTGTTGCCGAGGAAAACACAATAGCCCAGGACAGCCACCCCAATCAGCGTGGGAGTAAGCGATAAGAGAGAGGTCCGGATTGGGGGAGAGGAGAAGGTCGTGGTCGAGAGTGCCACGAATATAGCCAAAGATTCGCTTGAGAGCAGCCATATGAGGTTCCTCGGATCATGCATGAATAAAAATATTTGTTGCACATCATAGGAAATGTCGGGACGAGTAAAGGTGAGGTATTGCAGTGCACCGGCAAGGCTGCGATAGATTGTAGGGTCAGCAATGGGGGGTCAAGTGGTCGAAGCTAACTTGCTCTTTGTGTCAGCCGGCGTAAGACAAGGGTTGCAGGAAGCCATTTGTGCACGCTCCAATATCTCGTCGACGTACTTGCGTTGAGAGAGAAATAGCCCATTCGCGAGCGAGTGACTGAGATGCCGAGAAAGTAGTGAGGATCTCCAAGATCCTTCATTGCGAACTCCGGATTAAGGGCCGTAAGTACAATGTCATCAACATACAGTAGAAGGTAGGCGCATGAACTTTTGCGATAGTGCGTGAACTGCTGCGACAGTCGCGTGAACTGTTGCGACAGTACACAAAGAGTGAAATGTCGGCCTTGCATTCTTTGAACCCCATGTGGTAATGTGAGAGGCGAAACGCTTATACCAAGCACGGGGTGCCTGCTTGAGACCGTAGAGGGCTTTGTTGAGACGACACACGTGAGTGGGGCGAGATGGATCGACGAATTCGGAAGGTTGCTCGTAGTAGACAGTTTCAGAGAGATTGCCATGTAAGAAGGCAATTTTCACATCAAGTTGGTGGATTGGCCATAATCGTGCGATAGCAATACTGAGAACTGTTCGAACAGTGGCTGGTTTGAAAACTGGGCTAATAAAAGTCTCGTCAAAGTCGATGCCAGCCTGCTGGTGAAAACCGCGAGTAACTCACCGTATTTTGTATCGCTCAAGGGAGCCATCAGACTTGAGTTTCTGTTTGTATATCCACTTACCAGAAATAACATTAGTGAACTGGGGGCGGGGCACAACATTCCAAGTATTTTTTTTAATTAAAGCAGTATATTCCTCAATCATGGCGTTTCGCCAATTTTAGTCAAAAATAGCTTGGCGATAGTTGGTGCGAATGGAAGAGGTAGAGGACCCAACTATAGAGAAAGGGACTTTGGGTTTGTGGATGCCCGCTTTACTGCGAGTCACCATAGGGTGAGCATGTGGAGGTGGGGGAAGTGTGGGAGTATGAGAAGGAGATGTGGGAGTAGAAGAAGGGGTTGTGAGCTGGTCGTGGTCGAGAGATGGTGCCGCAGATGAAACAGGTGTCGGCTGTGTTGTAGGACTGTTGGACGAACTGTTGGAACAGGGTGGTTCACTGGTGGAACAGTTGGATGAACTGTTGCAACGGTTAGACGAAGTCTGAGGGAGGAGGAACATGGAGGGTGTGTTTTCGTCCAAGGCAGAGGTAGGGAGTGTTTTTGTGGGGGGAGTTGACTCAGCAAAAGGAAAGTGAGTTTCGTCGAAGGTAACATGACGAGAAATTATGATTCGGCCAGTGGATCTATCAAGGCAACGATAGCCTTTGTGAGAAGAAGGGTGACCAAGATAGACACAAGGAGTAGAACGAGAGGCGAGTTTATGTGTGGTGGCGGTGAGGTTGGGATAACAGAGACAGCCGAATACTCGAAGATGAGAGTAAGTAGGTTTGGTGAGGTAAAGAGCTTCGTGAGGGGTCCGGTTTTGTGTGGTTTTGGTAGGTAAAATATTGAGTAGATGGGTGGCCATATGAAGGGCTTCGACCCAATAAGTAGGAGAAAAATGAGCTTGAAAGATGAGGGATCGAATCATGTTGGTTATAGTGCGGATCATTCGTTCTGCGTGTCCGTTTTGAGGGGAAGTATGGGGACACGAAAAACGATTTAGGATGCCGTGTTTAGTAAAGTAGTTTTGAAAATCCGCATTTTTTAATTCACGACCATTATCACTTTGTAAGGCTTTGAGGGGATGTTGGAATTGAGTTTTTAGAAGTGTATGAAAATTGACAAAGGTTGTAAAAATGTCATATTTATTTCGAAGAGGAAAAGTCCATAAATAATGGGTAAAATCATCAACTAACACAAGATAGTATTTGAAACCCGTAAGACTAGACATATGAGAAGTCCATAAATCAGCATGAATAATTTGAAATTGAACAACAATAGTAGAGTTTTGAGAAAAAAATGGTAGACAAAAATGTTTGCCTAATTGACAGGCATTACAAAGAGACTCCCTAGGGTCTTTATTATTTGAAAGAAAAGTGCTAGAAAATAAACGGGACATGACGTGTTTGCCCCGATGGCCTAGACGCCGATGCCAAAGAGTTTGAGACGAAGGTGTTGAGACAGTGAGGAAAGCCGCGGGAGGTGAGGTGGGAGAAGAGATGCCAAATGGATATAGGTCACCGGAGCTATTGCACCTGAAAATCTAGACTCGACTCCGAAGATCCTTTACAGAAAAACCAAACGGGTCAAATTCAACCGCGCATGAGTTATCGCGGGTGAACTTTCTAACAGAGATAAGGTGTTTGATGATATTGGGTGTGACATAGACATTTGTGAGGTGGAAAAGAGTGGTGGGAAGAATTATGTGGCCTATGTGGGTGATGGGGAGGGTGGAACCATTACCGACGACATGATTGGGAAAATTACTGCTAGGATTAAAAACAAAATTGAAATTACCTGAGTGTGGTGCCATATGAGAGGTCGCCCCGCTGTCCATGAACCACTGTGACTCGGTAGACTAGTGAAGTGTCACCGTATCCAAACGATTTGCAAGATCCACCACGTTGGCACTGTAGCATGAACTATTGCAACAGTTGATGGAACTGTTAGAGCTGTGCCATGGCTGCTGTTGGGGATGAACCTGAGCCGGGGCCGAGTGGCCGGTGTAGTGTTTTGGTGGTCCAGTAAAGTAGGCTTGAGCCGCTGGAGTGGATGGGTGGTCCGATGTATTTGGAGCAGGACTTAGAATTGACGGGAACGACTGTTGTCGGTAAGGTGCGCGCCAGGGTTGAGATGCGCTATGAGCACTATGGTAGCCGTAGTGGGGCATGGGGTGACGGTTAGTGTCGCGACCTCCGCGACGGTTGAATCGGCCACCCCCGCGCTGATAGTGCGAAGAACCACCTCCATGGGAACTGTTGTAACTGTTGGATGGACATTTCGCGTTGGAGGCGTGGAAAACAACAGCGGTCTGCTCAGGTTCAGCAAGTCTAGTTTCTTCCATCTGAAGAAGCGATCGAGTCTGTAGAAAAGTGGGAAGAGGATTCTGAAGGAGATGAGATTGGCAATGGTCCCGTAATTTTTCGGAAGGCCCTGTAGGGTTTGTAGGACGATTTGTTTGTCGGAGATTGGATTTCCGATATCGGCCAAGCTGTCCGCCGTGATTTTGATTATTTGGCAATAATTGTGAATGGATAGAGTGCCTTTCTTGAGGGACTTGAATTTCTCTTCAAGTTGAATGGCCTGATAATCTTTATTATCGATAAAGAGAGAGGAGATGGCGGTCCAGAGATCACTGGCGGTGGATATTTTAGAGAGAACGATGCTGGACAAATCATCGGAGATGGTTCCGTAAATCCAAGATTGGAGGAGATAGTCGGCGCGTTGCCATTCATCGGCGGAAATTGAGTCGGGTCGAGGTTTTCCATGGAGAAGATCGGAGAGGCAGAAACGATCGACTGTAATTCTGAAAAAATGGCTCACTTTTGATAGTTGAGATTTTTCAGATCTAGGATGACGGGGATGAGAGTTAATATTGGAGATGGCATGAACAAGGTGGAAAGGATTGAGAGGGGCCGTGGAGGAAGGAGCTTCATCGCCGGCCATGGAGAAGGAGAGAGGCGACGACGACTGAGAAAATAGGGGAAGATGGTGTTGATGGCTAGGTTAACCTAGTGTCCGATACCATATAGGAGAAATAGAGTTGGAGAAAGAGAGAATTATGTCTCTTACGTATATTAATCATATATATAGTTAAATGTAGGAAATCCTAACATATTACACAAGGTAACTAAGAGATAAATAATATAATAAATAATAATAATAATATATACGCTAATAATTTATATTTGGTTGAAATTTTTTGTTCGAGTTATATGCCGTTGTGATGCATGAAATTAGATGAGAAAAATTAGTTGATTTAGTAAAAAAAGAAATAGTTAATTTAGTATAAGTCAACTAAGAAACAATAGTCGAGCATGTTTGTCGAAATTTATTTTAAACAGCTAGTAAGTTTGTAGGTCTGATAAGTTGTTTTAAGAGCTGATAAGTTGTACTAGGGCAGGCCATCGGGCCATGTAAATCGAGTTTCAGTCGGCTCAAGCTCACATACAATCGGGCCTCGTTAGTATAG